GCGGCTATGATGACTTGGGTGTGCTGGAATGGGCACGTAACAAACCCTCTCTCTCTTTCAACAGCCAAAAATTTCTTCTTCATCCCAATCGGATCGTCTCCCCATTGGCAACACCATCCAGCCCTCCCAGGCGGCCACGTTCATGAACGATGCCATTGAGAAGGCCAGGAAAGCTGCGGAGCTGCAGGCCCGAATCCAGGCTCAGCTGGCCTTGAAACCGGGGCTCATCGGCAACGCCAACATGGTGGGGCTGGCCAACCTGCACGCGATGGGCATCGCGCCGCCGTGAGTACCCACCAGTTGCCGGGTGATCCTGGTGGGCGTAACGCCGGAGTGGCAATGGAAGGACTGACCAAAGGTTTCGCCAGCCTTGTTGGTTCCCTAGCAGTGGCCTTAACGGCTGCTGAAGGAACAAATCTTAAATTTAAGAGGTGAAAAGGAGGTTGTTCCTTCCTCGGGTAAGATCCCGACTTCTGCACCTGAGATTTGGGTCCTTTCTGGTGGCGTAGATTATGGAATCACGGAATGGTTTGGGTGGGAAGGCACCTTAAAGACCATACAGTTCCAATCCCCCTGCCGTGGGCAGGGACCCCTTCCATAGCCCAGGTTGCTCCAAGCCTCATCCAGCCTGGCCTTGGACACTCCCAGGGATGGGGCATCCACAGCTTCTCTGGGCAACCTGTCCCAGTGCTCCCCACCCTCTGCGGGAAGAATTCCTTCCTGACGTCCCATCTCCATCTCCCTCTTTCCGTTCAAACCCGTCACCCCTTGTTCTGTCACTCCCTGCCCTTGGGAAAAGCCCCCCCAGCTCTCCTGTAGGTTGTAGATGGGATTTCACATTCCAAGGGGACCTTTCCCCATTGTGGGCTCGCTCGGGGCTCTGCCTTGGAGCTAAGGCTCACGTTTCCGTCGAGCCAACGCCGTACTCGCGTTTTAACGCCGCGTATCTCGTCTCGCCGCCAGGAAAGTGGAACTGAAGGATCAGACAAAGCCTACGCCACTGATCCTGGATGAGCAAGGCCGAACTGTTGATGCGACCGGTAAAGAGATTGAGTTGACTCACCGCATGCCAACCCTAAAAGCAAACATCCGAGCCGTGAAGAGAGAGCAGTTCAAACAGCAGCTTAAAGAAAAGCCCTCGGAAGATATGGAGTCGAACACTTACTTTGACCCCCGGGTCTCCATAACCCCAGCCCAGCGTCAGAAACGCGCCTTTAAGTTCCATGAAAAAGGCAAATTTGAGAAAATTGCCCAGAGGTTGCGAACGAAGGTATTTGAGGTCTTGCCCTGCTTAACTGACCGCACAGAAGTGAGGGTTCGGTTCGGGATGGGACCTGATTCTCCTCTCCCGGGATGTGAAGGGAGCTGTGTTGGTGTTGCGTAAGAAGCTTTTCAGTACAGGCACCTGAAACTCTCCTACCAACGTCGTTCTTTTTTGGGAAGGCAGGCATCCAAATTGAGAGATGCACGTGGAAAGCGTTTCCTTACCGCCGGCTTCGCTTGATGAAAAGCACAATCCGGTGGTTTTCCTATTTTTCCGACAAAATATTGACGATTTCTAAAGGGAATAGATCATTTTCCGGCCGAGCAAACACCCCAGAGGTGGAGATTGAAAGGAATCTCAGTAAAATGCCCATGTTCTCAGGGAGAAGGGGAGAGCTGCATTAGACAGCCAAGGCCGGGGATGCGATGCCCATAGGGATATATTCCGCTGGGATCGCTCCGTGTGGGCGGAAGGCTCAGCGAGCAGATGCGTGCCATCGCGTGCTGCGTGGTTTCATCCGCGGCCTGCTTCGGGTTGTTGTAAACGAGTCGGCAGGTGCGCGCGTGTCCTGCTTTTCCGGAAGGTCATGCTGGTTTGGAACGACCTTCAGGCAGCGTTTTCCTCTCTCTGTTCCCAGGCTCAGCTGGAGAAGCTGCAGGCGGAGATCTCACAGGCTGCCAGGAAGACAGGGATACACACTTCCACCAAGTTGGCTCTTATCACCCCGAAGAAGGAGCTGAAGGAGGGGGAGATCCCGGAGATCGAGTGGTGGGACTCCTACATCATCCCTAACGGCCTCGACTTGTAAGTAGTTCATTTGCCGGGCTTGAATCGTTCCGCTGCAGGAGGAAACCAGGGGAGCTCTGGGGGTAATGGGGGCGGCGTTGAGCACTTGGGTCAGCCAGCGGGACGCATCTGCTGGGGCTATTGATTCCGCCTCCCTCCTCTCCGACATCCAGGCGGGCGCCGCGTTGGCTCCCCGGGTTTCTCCCGAGGCTGGTGCCTCTTATCCCTCGGAGCTGAGATGACTTGCCACAGAGTTGGAGGAATTGGTTTGGTTTGGGGTGTTGGCGGTAGAGCTGGGGGGGAGCTGCCTCCCAGCCACGAAACCTGGGTGGGTATTTCACTGGGGGAGACGCGTACGCGCTAACGCTACATCACTGCCCGTCTCCCTCGGCGCGTCACGCTCTGATCTGTGCCATGGGGCAGGGACTGGCGCCTGTCACCTGCCCGCAGCCGGCGTTCCTCCGTGTTCACGGGAGCGCGGGAATTCAGGCTGGGAGGTTTAGCAACAACGCCCGACTCTCTCCTTTTCTAGAAAAGGCGGAACCTCTTCAAAGAGAGACGAGTACTTTGGGATCACAAACCTCGTGGAGCACCCGGCGCAGCTCAACCCGCCAGGTACAGCCCCCGTTCAGGTCGGATTCACTGTTAAACTACACAGGAAATACGCGGAGCGGCTGGAGCTCGGTGGGGGGGAACCGGCGCGTGAGCCCCCGCTGGCAGCACCGCGGCTCGATGTCTCTCACCCCCGTGAGGGGGTGAAATCCTGTGGGATAAGGCTGAAAGCTCCACAGAGATAGCGGGAACGGGGAGGGAGTCCGCGCTGGGCTGGGGAACTTCACATGAAGCCGGTCGCGGTTACGTGCCGACGGCCCGGCTGGGGTCACAAACCCTAGCTCCTCGTCTCCCGCCGGGTGGTTTTGCCTTCCTTGTCCGGAGGGAAGGATGTAAAATAACCCCAGAGCGTTTTTACTGCTTAGTAAAATGAAAAAAATTAGCCCCAAGTTGTTCTCCTGGTGCTCTGCGGGTTGTGGTGTGCCGTGGGCGGAGGGTTACGGCTCCTTCAGACGCAGGTTTGGGTTCAGCGTGCCGCGTTTTCTCTTCCCAGTGGACAGCGACACGCCAGTGACCCTGGGCGTTTATTTAACTAAGAAAGAGCAGAAGAAGTTACGGCGACAGACTCGGAGGGAAGCCCAGAAGGAGCTGCAGGAGAAAGTCAGGCTGGGCCTGATGCCGCCGCCGGAGCCCAAAGGTAAGTGAGGGCTGCGGAGGGCAAGCTGCGGGGATGCGGCTGGGAATGCCGCAGGCAGCCTGGGCGGGATCGCTCCGTCTGCCGTGTTCTGCCGTCGCGGCAGCCGCTGCCCAACAGGAACCTCTCATGGCTGG